CTGAGACACAGCCCTGTCTCTTGCTGAGCAGTGCATGGCCTTTCTGGACCAACTGACACAAACACCGAGTGCGATGGTCCTCGAGTCCCACACAATCCGCTCGCGGGAGAGTGGAAACTCTTTACAGACCCTTTGACATCACTCGCCAAAAACGAGGAGAGCCTGTCACCACGTGGGGACCAGGAGACAGAGAAGACTATTCTATCCCACCCTCAGGATGTGGTCCCAGCGGGGCAGGCGGTGCTGGGTGGACCCTCAGCCGGCGGCCTGAGGAGGGGCAGGCCGAGGTGCGGTCAGGGTCTCTCCTCAGCTTCCCTGTCCTCAAACGGAAACGTGACCCAAATTGCTTAGCAAGGCTCTGCCAGTGTTTACCAGGCTCTGAACCCCTCACACGTGTTAACGCATTTCACTCTCTCACAAAGCCAAGCTCAAAAACCAAAGTAAGCCTATCAAAAAAAAAAAAAAAAACAACCCAGAAAATAACAAGTGTCGGAGGTGATACGGAGAAATTGGAAGCCTGTGCGCTGTTGGTGGGAATGTAAAACGGTGCAGCCACCGCGGAAACCGGTCTGGAGGTTTCCTCCGAAAGTTGAAGGTACAAATAGTACTTGATCCGGCAGCCCCACTCCTGAGGACACACCCAGAAGAAGCGAAAACAGAGACTCGAACGGACACGGACACGCAGACACTCGCGTTCACAGCAGCACCGCTCACAAGCCCGCAAGGTGGAAACACCCCGAACCGTCCCCCGAGGCGGGGATGAATAGGCAAGGTGTGGTCTGTGCGCACAACGGAAGGTTATTCAGCCTCAAAACGGAAGAAAATTCTGACACGTTCCTGCAGGGATGCCCCTGAGGACATTATGCTAAGGGAAATAAACCAGTCACAAAGGACAAATGCTGTATGATTCCACTTTTAAGAGGGACCCAGAGGTGTCAAATTTACTGAGACCGAAAGTGGAATGGTGGTTGCCAGGGGCTGGGAGTCCAGGGGTGGGGGAGGGGGCGGGAAGTAATGTTGTGGGAACAGCAGTGGGGACAGAGGTATAGTTTGGGGAGATGAAAAAGTTTTGGAGGTGGATGGCAGTGACAGTCAGACAACGATGTGAATGTTTCTGATGCCTTGCAATCGTACACTTAAAAATGGTGAAGACGGTAAATTTTATGTTATAAATGTTTTACCACAATTTAAAAAAGTTTTAAAAGCTAAAAGTAAGGGGCACAATCAGGGTGTGAACCCCGTGTCTGGACCCAGAGCCTGTGGCTACCTTAAATGATGCGTAAGGTCTGTTCCTGCACTCTGTGACACACTGTCAGCAAATGCTGCTAACATTTCCAGAACAAACAGGCACCCGCTAGTCTTCTGTAGCGGGACCTAATTCACATGTACTCCCGTCCTCCCTTGAAAAACCAGATCACCTAGGATGTTGTTAAGAACCTTTAGCTACATAGCTGTGCACTCTTGTTTCGGTCGTGGTTTGTTCCAAAATACACACATCTTCAAAGAACGCGGAAATTCTTTTATGATGCACAAAACCAGAGAAATAAGGATATAGCTCTTTCAGAACCACGAAGGGCCCAGGGTAGCAGAAGTTCTCTTTTTTCCTTCTCTTCAACACCACCATTTGGTTATTAGACAGGCGATCCTCTGAAGAAACTTAAATACTGTGTAACTGGGTGGTACAGGCACAGATCGCCGAGAGCCGCCCTATTCTGCGTTATGCTAAGTGACTCAGACAATTCATTTATCACTGAGGCGTGCACCAGCCTCTCCCGGAGGAAGAGGGTGAGGGGGGCCTGAGGGGAGGTTCCTAAACAAGATGGTATCTAAACACTGACACACACAGAATTGGGCATAGGAGGGGACGGATGAAACTGTAACGCATCTGCAGGAAAGCCTCCTGCGGCGGGAGCCAGCCGCTCCAGGAAACGCTGCCTGGAGAAATGACAAGTTTTCCCCAGCAGTTAATGATGCTGAATTTCTATAGCAACAGGCAGCAGGCTTCAGAGGGACGTCACAAGCCACTGTGTTTCTGTCCCCGTGGGCACACACACAGGCCGAGTCAGGTCCACCTGGGCACCGCTGGACAGAGAGATGCTGGTGGAAGGAGCTCGCCCAGGGCGGCAGGACCAGGGAGCGGCTGGAGCAAAACAGAACACAAGTTCTGGGCCAAACCTCCGTGGCAGGGACTGTCACGTGGTTAACTCTTGGCTGTCCCCAAATAGGAGGCACGGGGTGGCAGGGATAAACCATTCTCATATATCCAAACCCACTGCTCCTCCTCTGGCAGGGGTTGGGGAAGAGAGGCCTGGAGACCAGCGGGGAGGCCCACCCTGGAGGCTGCAGTGGCAGATGGCTCTGTCCGGCTGCAGCAGGGACACAGTGGCCTGGGAAGCAGAGCCTCTCCGGGCCCAGGCTGTCGCACGCTGTCCAAAGAGGGCTGGACCAGTTCATCTCTGCTGTCCCTCCCTGGGCTGCGCAACTCCTGTCTGTGACTACAACCCGAATGGCCAGCCCACAGGGCAGGGAGAGGCTTCCTGGGGCTTAAGGAGCCCCATTCCACATTAGAACCCAAAGCAAAACGGTTCACCAGGAACCCGAGTTCACCGACAGCAACAAGACCAAATTTCCTTTCACGGCATCACGGAATCCCCTCTCTACCCCCGAGTCCATGCACTGGCAGGTTTCTGGGCTCAGCGCTCTGCTCTTTCTTCCCTAGATGTGGATTTAAAAAACAAACACAAAGAGAACTCCTCTTACACTGCTCTTTCCACGGGCATTTTCTCACAATCCCACCAGCTCTGGGCTGACTGGGAGGCTGGAGAGTTTCCAGCTTATGGGGGGAAAAAAGGACAGTGTTCAACTACAGTGTACCCTGAGGTCAGGTGTTCGGCACACCTGGCCCACAGCACTGAAGATGCTGGCAGGTGTTCAGCACGCCTGGCCCACAGCACCAATGATCATTTCACTCTGAGGAAAGGTGGGAACCTCCGCAGCCGAGCCACCAAGAGACAAGGCTTTCACTCTCTCTCTCTCTCTCCCGGAGAAGCCGCAGACGAGGGGCAGGGTCCTACCATGATGCCCGGCAGTGCGCCTGCTGGCGATTCCAGGGTGGAGAACCAGCCATCCATGCCCTCCGCTCCCACCCACAGACCAAAGGGCATATGGCAAGTCCTCTCACCCAGATGGAAAGGGACCCTCACCTGCACAGGGCTCCTTTGTTTGTCCCAGTTTTGCTTGATGCTCATGGATTTTTCACACCTGCTTCCAGGCCGTCCACGGGGCAGGTTAAGTGAGGATACCCCATCCTCCCCTCACAGGGCAGGAGGAGCCAGCACTGCTGAAGGCAGGGCCGGACCCCCAGCCCAGACCACCGTGCGCCTTGCCCAGAGCAGGCGTCTCTGCAGGACCCACACAGCTCGGGGTGGGGACAGCGGACACAGAACGACACGCCTCTCATCAAAGAGACACATGATTACAGTTCCTGTGCTATACAGTAGAAACCTGTTGCTTACCTATTTTTTTAAAAAAAAATTTATTGAAGTATAGTCAGTTTACAATACTGTGTCCATTTCTGGTGAACAACATAACGTTTCAGTCATCCATACACAGTTGTGTATTTCTTTCCACAATCTTTTTCATTATAGGTTACTATAAGATATTGAATATAGTTCCCTGTGCTGTACAGTGTAAGTTTATTATTTATCTATTTTATACACAGTAATGTGTACCTACAAATCTTGGACTTCCAGTTTATCCCTTCCCACTCTCTCCCCCTCCAGTAACCTGTAATGAAAAAGAACATGAAAAGGAACATATGTGTACATGCGTGACTGAAACAGATGCTGTGCACCAGACATTGACACAACATTGTAAACTGACTACACTTCAGTAAAAACTTTTTTTAGAAGAGAGAGAAGACACAGACAGGAAAAAGTGCTCAGGCTTCAACGCTAAATCATGATTCTTCAGATGCAGCAGAGAGACCCTGGCGTTCTCACCCTCATTTCCTTCTTCAAATATACAGACAAGGGGGTGAATCTACCCACCCCACACGGGGAGGAAACGGATCAGGGAAGGGAACTGGCGTCAGTGGTCCTTGTAAACAGTAGCCAGAAAAAGCCCGAGGCTTCCAGTTGGTCTCATCAGACCGGAGTCCCTGGAGGGCGGGTGCTGGGAGTCATCCCTCAGTATTGCCATCGCCGGCAGCTGACGGAACCATGGAGGGGCTGCACCCAGAGGACTGGGGAAAGGTGTCAGCAGTGACAAGCAGGGCTTTCTATCAAGCCGTCGCCGAACAAAATCCAAGGAGAAAAAGGGAAAAGGGAGGGTGAAGGGGTGAATGAGGAACAGCCACTGGTAAAAGAAAGCACAACCGAAACACGAGGGCACAATGATGGTGCTGTTGAAAGACTTGAAGGAAACCTTTGTATCCCAGAAGTCGAGGGAGAAAGAGTTTCAGTTTTCATCCATGAAGGAAAAGGAAAGCTGAGCCCTACCTCCACCCTGAACCAGTCCTGTTTCATCACTGGCTTCTCCCTCTTTTCCACGTGTTCAGTTAACTGGGCTACAATCTGAGCTGGACGCCCCCAGGAAGGCTGGCAAATACCCAGGGCCGCGTCAGGACACTGGGGTCCCAGCCGGGGGTTCTGGACACTCCAGCCAAGGAGGGCCCTTGACTAGAGAGTAACGGACTTTCTGCAGATAATTAAGTCATTCACATCCACTCCTGGGCCTTGGAAGAGAAAGTATTTCCTTCCTGGTTGCCACGGCAGGCTGCCCAGCTGATGGTCACCAGCAAGCATCCCCCGGGGAGGTCGCAGGTGAGGAGGTGTCCCCCAGCCTCAGCACCTGACCAAGCGTGCCTTCTGGGTGACAGCGTGGGGTGACATCTGCCTGATGACAGCTTCCAGGAAAATCCTCCTGCCGCGTCTGTCACCCCGGCCCAGACCCAGGCCACACTCCCTTCAGGGACGGGGCCCCAGAGCAGCAGGACCGACCTGACGACTTCTGTCCACTAGCATCTGTGCTCCCAGCTCCCGACCACGGCCATGAGCATGCCGCCTGCTCCGCCAGGGAAACCTGGGGCAGCCCTCGCCCGGGGAGGGGTCTGCCTGAGCACAGGGGAAGGACCAGCCCTCAGTTGCCAGGAAAGTCTCTTAACTTCGGAACAATCCACGACCCTGACAGGTCCTCTCGCCCTGCACGCCTGCCTCCCTGCCGTGCACCAGGTAGACAGGCCCACAGGGGAAGGAGGCAGAGAGGGGCCGGCTGAGCTCTGGGAAAAGCTCTTGGTTCCAGGGTTATTTAGACACATTCTGCAGAATGACCTGGCACCAGTTTCCTGTAAAATTCATGACCAGGAACCTCCTCCCACTGGCTCCGCTGCAAGTCCCGGGAGGCTCCCAAGGAGTGGGGTTTTCGGGGGTCTCAGAAGAGCCTCAAAGCAGAACGCTGGGCCCACGATCTCTGAGCGACTCTCCCGCGCCCAGGTCTCCGGGAGGAGCAGGGCCTCGAGTCTGCGCTGTGAAGCCGACGCCGCCCTCTTCAGGGGGGTGTACTCTGATGGGGACTGTGGGTCTGGGCCAGAAGGAGGTCAGGAGGCCACTCTGTGTGCGAGAAATCCCACCAGGAAGGGGACGCAGGACACACAGGCCTCGTGGACGGAGCGCACTGGAAACGCTGGGTTAAATGTAAAGAGGATGGCCCGACAACTCTGGAACAAGGTGTGGGCCCACCCGCCGGAGCTCCACAGCTGGCCGTCACCCGCAGACGGCCAGCGGCCAGGCACAGCTGGACTGGGAGACCAGAAGCCAGCGGCTCAGGCATGTTCTGACACGGTGTTAAACGTCAGTGCAAGACCAGCCGGGGCTACCTGACCCCTGACACCCCACCAAAAGGGCGGGACAGATAGCTCCTGCGCAGGGTCCCCCTCCAACTCCCAAGCCAGGTGAGGCGGAAAGGGATGCTTACAGAGCGTCTGCTGCTCGCCCAGGGCCTCACACACTCCAGCTCACTTCGCGCTCCTGACAAGGCTCCGGAGCAAATCTTTTTCTCCTCATTTTATAGAAGGGAAAACTGAGGGTCGGAAAAATGCCCTTGTCTCAGATTCCTCAAGTAATAAACGGCAGAGACGGATTTCAAGTTCACAACCAAGCCCGCCAGACTGCAGCAGACACCCCTCCTCTCCCCGTCTCCACAGGGGACAGGAGGAAAGGCGGTCACTGAGGTCATTAAGAGATGCCACCTTCCTGACCTGCCCTCCCTGGAGACGGCAGGGCTCCCGGCGTCTGTGCCTGACAAGCCAAAGGAAGAAAAGTGGAAGGCACCAGGGCTGAATCCAGCTTCTCTGTCAGCACAACAGAAATGAGATGAAGAAATGTGGAGAACGGCCTCAGCTCTCAAATAAGCATCACAAAGTGGAATCACAAAGAGAAAGAGAAAGAGCAAAAGCAAGAGCTTCAGGAATCGGGGCAAGACAAAGATTCTGCATGAGACTAAACGATGCGTACACGTCAACGGCGTCCTCCTCTGCAGGTCTCATCTGAGCACGAAAACCCACGCTGGCGGCCAGGACAGCATCTCCACCACCCCTCAGCCCTCAGAAGGGTCAGGGCCACACGGCAAATGTCATCTCTTCCTACATGCATGCTTTTCATTATTTAACATTTAGATGATTCTAAACACTCAAATACTTTGTCTCATTTGAGCTTAAGAGGTAAGACAAATAGTTTTTTTTAAAAATTTCCACTGTTCTTAAATAACAGTGGAGAAACTGAGGCAGACTGCTCAGGGACTTTTTTTTAAACAAGTGGCAGCGCCAAGACTGGACCTGAATTTTCTGAGCACTGGACCCATGGGGAGGAGCCTGGAGAGGCAGTGCAGACCACAAAGGTACAATCTGCACCCCGTGTTCTAGCCCGACCCGGCGCCTTCCAGTCACACAGCGAGGAGGAGGGAGAGCCTGACCACGAGACGTCTCATGAGCTGAATCGGGGGAAGAGCTCTGTAAATACAGAGCATCACCTGCCTCAAAAGAGGCTGAGTCACGGAAGCTAGTCCTCCCCACGGAGGACACTGACGCCAGGGCACCCTCCACCTGGCCCCAACCCAGAAGGAGGGAAAGCGCAGGAGGGAAGGTTAGAAACTGGCCCCCGAAACAAAGCAACGGCACGTGGCTGTCGTGTGGACCACAGGTCAGCGACTGAGAGAGCGGCCTTGACTCCCCTTCCCACAAACCCCGAGTAAATTCAGAGGGACAGAGTTTAATGTGGAAATCAGGCAAACAAACCAAACACCAGAATAGCATGGAAGTAAATATCAGTTATCTGATTTACGTATTTTCTTTTTTAAAATTTTATTTATTTTTCAATCGGTCCTTTTTGGGGTGGGGGTGGGGGAGTTAATTAGGTTTTTATTTACTTGTTTTAACAGAGGTCCTGGGGATCAAACCCAGGACGTGATGCATGCTTAGCACAGGTTCTCCCACTGAGCAATACACCCTCCCCCTCATTTATCTGATTTCTAGATGAGAAAGGCATTTCTGAGCTTAGAAGCAATGAAAGAATCCATAAATGCAAAGAGTAAGAATTAAACTTCAGTAAGAATTTATGTAAAGTTAGGTCTCCTGTTTAAAAAAAAAAAAGAAAAGGGGAAAATATTAGCCCCCAGAAAGAGATGAACAGTTGAAATTTGTAATATTATTAAAAGCGTATACAAAGTGATGAGAGAAACAGGCTATGAGGCCAGTTAACACACATGGGAAGCTGTTTCATTCAATAGAATTAAAGAGTTGAAAATGGCCACGTCAACTGCCACCCACGCAATGAACAAAGCTTTGATTTGCAAGTGTTAACATTTATTGTGGCAAAGGTACAAAAGAATCTCCTGGCCCAAGTATAAACTGGTACAGCCCTTCTGAAAAGGAGCTGACATCTACCTTATGAATGTTCAAACTCTCTAACTCTGTAATTCTACTCTTAGGAATTTATTTCAAGGAAACAATGAAAAATGCAGCCAGGTTGGTGTAAAAAGGCATTCCTTGTAAGTTAAATGAGCGACAGAAATCAGCTAGGTAGGCTGGAAACATTGTTAACAAAACCTGTTGAGATCGCGAAAATATCCTTCTGATGTAGCGCTAACATTTTCAAGGTAGGAAAAAAAAACTGTACATATTATTATCTCAAGTATATAAAAAAAAAACAAAGCAAATAGAGTTTAGGAGTCACGAGAATGTGCCTTCGAAACGTGTTACTTCTTTTTACATTAACGTGTATCAGTTCTATAACGGGAGAGGGGGGTAACAGACAAAAACCCTCACCCTCTCATCCAAGGCATAGGGAGGCTGTCACCACAGACACTGGAATATTTTTGGTGGTATTCAGAAAGAAGCATCTAATATAGCCGTGTTTTATTTTGCAACAAAATGTTCAAAACATTTTTTAATCACTGGTTTAATTCTTTCAACTATTGGCTTTACCTCCTTCAAGAGTGGTACAGATCACCCCTTTCTAAGTACGTGTCACCACCCTCCACTTCCTTTCCCCAAGTCAGCTCCAAAATAGTTTGCAAGTCACCAGGCTCACTAAAGTCCCTTCCTTAAGGCTCCTAATTTCACATTTATCAGCAAGACCCAGCCTTGCAGCAAAACCGGAGGAGGGGGCAGGGCAAGCTGACAGGCAACTCTCCCATCCCACAGCCATGCAGGGCCAGCTGCAGGGGCTCAGGGGCCAGCCTCCTGTGGGTTTTCCCAGGGTTCAAGGAGCTTCAATGCATAGCAGGCAGCCTGCCCCACTGTGGGGACCCCTGTGTCAGCCAGCCAGATGGCCACCGAGCCCCCACAGAGAGAGGAATCAGCAGGGATGTTCTTTCCCCAGAAGTCCCTCTGGTTCTTAGGTTGGAGGTCCCAGCATCCCCCATCTCTGTCTGCTCCGGGACTGTGAGAATCAGGTCAGAAGAGGGTTATCCCAGGGACCCACACCTGGACTAGCCAAGTCCCTGCTTATCTCTCAGGAACTCAGCCTCCAGCCCCTGCCCCCCCGCCACACACACACCGCAAAACAAGAGAGCAGTCAGGTAGGGGATGGGGGGGCAGGGATGCAGGACTAGTCCCTCCCTCTGCCTCTGCCACTTCTGTCCCCATCCACCCTGAGCACCTCCTCCAGTGCCCCCAGCTTCCATCCTGACCCAGGTTTGCTGTGTCACTGGTGGCCCACAAACTTACCAAAGCGGGTTAGCCATCGTCAGCCAAGCTCGACTAATCACTCAGAGCTGCTGCTCAGCCCAAGTGGAAATTCCAGACACTCAGTCTGCGGAGTCCCCCTGCGGGGCACAGCGGACAGGAGCTCCCTGCTCGGGGAGGGGCCGGACCCAGTGCGCGCCAGACACAGGGCGACGCGTGCTGGCGGCCTCCCCGGCGGCCCCCAAACCACCTGCGTCCGATGTGTGGGCCTCGAGGCCCCCCACCCAACAGTGGGGGTAAACCCAAGCCATCCAGATGCCTTCCAGCCAGGCTCCCAGCACAGGGGACCCTTCGCCTAAGTTCGTGCACAGTAGCAGCCAGAAACGAGCATTTAATGAGTGCTTTCTAACTGCCAGACTTCATGGTGAGTGCTTTTCCGAGACCACTTAATTTGCTTAATAAGGAAGGCAACGTAGGCCCCATACTCTGGGTGGGCAGTCAGCTCAGTTCACATACAAAGAGACACAGCTCCAGCTAAGCTGCCTTGAGCATGCGGGCGATGGGACAATGTGACAGCGCAGGGGGGTGGGGGCAGTGAAACAATTTTTCAATACCCTAACATGTGAAGACACTGCAGAGGTTTAACTTACAGAGGGAAGAGCGGGGTGGCAGGAGCAGGTGGCCTGAGAGTACTTCTCAGCTTTTCGGGAGATTTCCACGTGCAAGAGGGATCAGGAGCAGGAAGATCCACGTGGTGCGTATCAGCTAACGGGAAACTGGGGAGTCAGACAGGACCCTAAGTCTGCACTTTACAAATAAGGAAACTGAGGTCAGAGTAGGACCACAAACTCGCCTCTC